TATTAAAAAACAAAGTATTGATATGAAAACAGTATCTGCTGCAGCTGCAGCTTCACATGGATGGAACATGCCATGTAAGAGTTCAGTAATGTTTCCAACATTTTACCTTTTGTGCTTCAGAGAAAAAGGAATTTTAGATTGAAGTAAGGAATCGCTGTATATCTAGAAACCTATAAGACCCAATTTCTCTTCTAGTCATCACTTCCAATCAGACAGATGGATAAATTGCTATAGAAAAAAACACAAAAGAACCTCACCTAAAACAATGACTGCATCATTTTTATTTATTTCTTGCATTCTCTGTTCACATAGCAAGAAATTTAATTCCAGTTAGATCATTCTCTTGTGATACTTTTTTCTTTCATTTAATATATTTTTAAATGCTTAGAAGCATTATGACAGAAAAGCATGTATTTTTTTTGCCCTGGTTTATACCCATCATCCTTACCATTACAACAAGACAAAAGCATTAAAGTAAAATTAATCATGTCAAAAGATTTTAGCAAAAAACAAGGGAGACCATGCATAAAGCATCGCTTTGTCTAGTGTGAAGTCACGCTCTGATTAAAAACATATAATGAAAGTGAAAGTAATACATCATTGCCTTAGCAGTAGGGTTTTTGGGAAAGCTATGCAATTCTGAACACAAAAAATCTTTATAGGCTCTGGATTTTGCAATTACTATAGAATAATTCTAACAAACAAAACATTGTTTCACTTCCTTAAAGTTTAATTAATCTTAAACGTTGCAGTTAAAACAAACAACCAAAGGAGTTCTAGAATTAAACACAATTAGACTCCTGGCAGGACCATAACTGGTAATTAAAACCCAAGCAGCAGTGGCTGGTTCTGAGCAGTGGGGTATGAGGTGGTGACCCAGAGACCTCCCCCAAAGCCCCACATCCAGTAAGTAGTTATGAAAACTACAAAATATCATGGAATAATGAAAATCCACTAACAGAGCAGAGCTTTTGCAGTTACTGAGGACTGTCACACAGTCCTCAGTAACTACAACTGATGGAGATCAGTTGTTCCATTTCTGTCACTGGGGAATGGTAGCCTGTTGCTGCTACGTGACCTATGTAGTACCAGCTAAAAAGTGAACTGTGTTTGTGCACAGCTAGAGAAGCCTGAAAAGAAACCATGCAGTGAAGATATTTGCTGTACTTTGCCATAAAGTCTATAAAAGCCTGGACTTTTCTCAGGCACAACTGTGCAATAAGTGCTTCAAATTAAACACCAACATGCACATTATGATGTGCATAATATTATTTATAATATCAGATTAGGATTGTGCCCATATCAAACAAAATTAGATGGTAAAAAATGCTCGTAGAATGCCACTAACTTACTCCTTTTTTTCCCCTCTTTATTCTGCCTCTATGTTGTCAACATATAAACAATAACTCTCTGAGAAATACCAGATAGGAAAAATACACAGTAATACTAGACTGTGAAAAATCTACCGATCCCCTGAGCCATAGCATTCTTGCCTATAGATGATGACATTAAAAAATTGGAAATGGGTGCATGCTTCCCCTCCTCTCCTGGGTCTATGAACAAGGCAAGTTGTTTTCCTGATACCTTTCGAATTACTCCCATTAGTACTGATGCATTTGGTGCTTTGGCTATCCAGGCAGAGAGAGGTGGGCAGGATCCCCTGCCAATAGATCTAGTCTTGTCTAGGGAACAAAATGAGATTGCTCCTCTGCTGAGCTGTCATACTCGATAGCTCGTGCTGTTCCACCTGCACCCATCCTCACAGCTCCAGCTGCAGTGCCATGGAGTCAGTAGTTCCTGGTGGCTGATCTTCTCCTGTTCCTTATGCATCACAGAAGGCAGGACACAGAGCCCTGAGCAACTGAGCCCTCAGCAACTGAGTGCTGAGAAGTGAGCCACTCTCCGTGCTGAGAAGGCAAAAGGAAATAGGCAAGCAGCTCCCTCTCAAATGGGTCTGCAAGCCCTGAGAGTAACTGCAGGGGCTCCTCTCAGTGGAGAGAGGAGATTCAGGCTCCTCTCATCCACCTCCTTCTCAACGACCCTGCCGCTGCACCCAGGATTGAGTATTTGCTCCTTTCCCACCATCCCTACCCCCAAATGCCACTGGCACTGAGAGCAGAAAATGAGGAATGTAAATGGGTTTGGAGGAAGGGAGGGGGACTTTCTGTGCACACTTACACTGGATCAGTAAGCCTCTAAGTGCAAAATGTGGCATTTTCTTGGTGTGTGGGGGAGCCTATTGGCAGACAGAAGGTTAAAGAAAAAACTTTGTAACAGGAGAAAATCAAATACACCTAAGGCGATAATAAAATGGAACATCTTGAAATACCAGACTACAGGAACTGAAATTCTTCCCATCACAGAGCCTCATGAGCAGGACATAGCTTTTGCTCTGTCCCTATTCACTAAGGAGCAAACCCATCATTTGCACTGACAAGTTGAGAATGAACTGCAACGTTGGGACTGAAAGTACTACCTAAATAAGAAAAAAAACAAACAGAAAAAAAATTTTCTGCCTTTGCTGCTTATTGTATATCTCTGATAAAACAACAGTGGATTGAGAGAGAGGTAAAAAGGTAAAGAAATAAAACTCCTTCCTAAATTGCAAAAAAAAAAAAAAACCATGACAAATAAAGACAGAACTATGTCCTTAAATTTACACTCCCCCTAAATGTCACAGTATGTTGACACCACACCGCAGCTACACTGAACTACCACTATATTTTAAGCTTGTACAGTTTTTTGTCTTCCCTAAGACTTTTCAGTCACAGTTCTTCAAGTCTCTGCACTCCTATGCTGTAGTTCTTCAATGTTTCACAGAAAGAACAGAAGATGTACTTGGACTTATCTCCCATTCTCTGTTAAGTTAGAAAAAAAAGGGGATACTTGAAACTCTTATTACAACCAGGTTTGGGTTTTTTTAAATTGTTATTGTTACTATTTTGTAAGTAGTAAAACATTTTCCAAGAAATAATGCTTGTTAACATTTTGTGTTTTTCAGTGTGAAAAGACAGGCGTTCTCCTCTCTGTTCTTCAAACTTTAGCCCAGGCAAAGAGGGCATCCTTTTCTGGCAGGATTTGCAAGAACAGGATTACTCATGTCAAGAGAGGGCTGTATATTTGGCAGCTGTTGTCTGAGCCAGCACTGGGACAGATCCTGGGACCTTCAGGGCTTCCAGTGCTGAGCAGCAAGCACTTGAACCCCAGCTGGCCAAGACTGTAACAGATGCCTTGTTTTTAACAACATATAGAATGTTACCTGCACTGCCATAAAGAAAAGAGAACTTTTCTTCCCTATTTCTAAAGGTAACACAGAAAAGACTAAATTCTCTACATAAAATTATCCTAAACATCTCTCAACACCACCACAGACAACTGGTCCAACACTAGAGGTGGACATTTAACCAGAGCATTAAGGTATCCTGCCTCTGCCTAGTTTCCCACATTCTTGGAGACTGCAACACAATGTAAATAACTAAGAGCTGAATAAATTCCATTCTTACAAAATCTGACAATCTACAGCTAGTTAAGACTCAGAAAAAAAAGCTTTCTACTTTAATTCAGTAGAGAGTTCAGATCTTGAAGCAAGAGATCCATTCCTCCTGCCTCTCCTGTTGAGCCACTGGATTAGACACAGCAAATGAAAAAAACACCTGGACAATTCTGCCTTAGGCAGTATCATTGATTTTTCACTGACTTACCATCTTCAGGATTTTCTTAGAAGTAGTTTACAGAGGTGGGTATTGTAACTCATTATTCTGAGAAATGTGAAGCATAATATATTCCCTAGCACAGATGCTATAAACTTTTATAATGTACACTTCATATAACCTTTTTTAATTGTCATTCTTTCACAACACCCTCAACTATTAGTCCAGGTCATCTACATGTAAACCGTCTTTATGTGGCACCACTTTGTAAAAGGCTCCTATATCTACCATGGGAAAAAAAAAATCAGTCTGCAAGGGCATTATTTCAAGTCCTGAATCACAGCAATTTAAAATTTTTTTTCATCCTAACCTGTGCATGTAACATTAATGTGGATGTATGCCACTATAGTGCTGTGGATAAGGGAGAAGAAACAAATTCTGTAAAATGTATTTTACTGGGAAAAAAAAAAAAAAAAAGCAGGTCTAATAGGAAATCCAGGTTTTACCAGTTGTCCAGTTTTAGAAGTATGGTTTTGATTTATGGATCAAAATTGCTCATTTATTATTTTATCTATATTGCTTTGGGCAATTTTGACAGTTAAAATTTAGTTTTATTGACCAATGCAGCCAGTTTAGCCACAAGGGGACTAATGCACACACAGCCTGCTGCACTCAAGAAGCTATGATTTGATTCCATGACCAAGTCAGACTGGGAATCACAACCAACATAACAATAAGTTCCAAATCTCGATGCTCGAGGCAAAATACTTACTCTAAAACCAATCCACTATTAAAAGAAGGTGGGAAAGAATTTTGTGATAGCAGCCTCCATGCACTGTTTATTGTAGCTGATATATTCCACCAATGCTTCTGTCAGCAATGGACGCAGGGTAGTACAGAGGAAACCTTTCTTTAATGATTGTGGACAACAGATAAAGCTGGAAGAAGGAAATGAAAATGCAAAACAGAATCAAAGGTGTGCTCTAGTACTACGGCTTACCAGGGATCTGACTCTTGAGAAAAATGTCTTGAAAAAACTGCCTTTTTTTTTTTCCTAAACCAGATATTATTCATATATACATAAATATGCATGGGTTCATGTTGCAGCTTGAAAGACTTACAAGTTTACTTAAAAAAAAAACTTACTGGAATGATTTTAAGCCAATGTTAATTTAGGCCTATCCTATTATAAAATTAGCATCTTCTGCAATCTCAATTTATTGCTCCATTGTGAAGCCCCTTGTGATACATAAACAAATCTCTGAAGAGAAACAAATCAATAAAGTGTCTAATTTGATTAACCATGTTTTTAAATTCATCAAGACAACTGTACAAAAATAAACTACTTACTTGTCAGTATTTTCCACGTCTTCTTTTCATCATCATAATACTGAACCAAATTGCTGGGTAGCCGGTCAGGTCCGGGAGGCAATCCTCCAACCAATAACAGCATTTTCTTATTGGAACGAATTCTTCACCCAAAACAAGAGGAAAGATGAACAACCACATTACTGAGGAGTATTTTTAGTGGCAACAAAATCATAACCATCAAAAGAATGTTCACTGCTTGCAGTTTTCTATTTCATTTTTTGTGTTTCTTTTCCCAATCATGTCTCAACAATTTCTTGAACCAAGCAGAAAAATGATCAGAAAAGCTGCGTATCTCTCTACTCATGGAATAATAAGCTTCCTTTATGCAATTTGTTAGAGGTTCATTCTAGAACGACCTTTTTCTTATATTATCCCTTTAAATCATCACTCTTTACAGCTGAATACACATGAAATGCTCTGGAGTTGTACTAAGGTTAAGCATTAAAGTTGCATGTCAAAAATCGTATTAGTCAAAATCATTATTATAAGCCATTCTACACTCAAAGAACCTTGAAAAAATTAAGGTTATGCAGAGAGTTTGTGAGCCAACTCTTTAATCACACACTGAACTTCAGATATATGGTTTAGTACAATTAGCAGCACTGGGCTAATGGTTATGGGTTAAATGCTACTTACAAGCACTTTTGTTTGTTTAATTTAGTCCAGACTCTTGCTTTCATTCTCCCCCCTGGCTCCCCCCCTCGTCTTTGCTCTCCCCCTGTGCACCACTGGCTATAGCAACACCAATTGGTAAAAATGAGACTGTGATGTTGTTGTGAGCCTCCCCAGAGTGGAGCCCTGCCAATGCTTGCCACTGATCCAGCGGCATGAACCTGCTCAACTGTGCAAAGTCACTCTAATTCCCTCCCTCTGTTTTTCTACCTTCTCCCCCAGGGGGCAACCACTGAAAGGAGTGACTACCCACCCATCAAGAGCTGGCAATTCGCTGCTATTAACCGTGACCGTGATTCCCAATCTGCCTGGCAGTTCTTAAGAACAGGACTGCAATGTCTCATCTGCAGTAAAAGTGGTTATCTGCACCCTGGCCTCCAATGCCCCACCTGATGAACGTACAATTTCTCTGCAGCATGAAGGGATTTAGCACAATTGTAAGTGAAAACTGGAGGGGAGGCGCAGACCCCCAGATGAGCCCTGATGCTTTAATAGTCACTTTGCATATAATTGAACTTTCACCAGTTATACTCAGCTTGGGTGAGATAACGCTGAAATAAAGGCCTAGGCTCAAAATGTTCCCATTAGGTAGGAAGGTGGTGTAGCCTGGAAAACAGCCATCCATATGAACGACTGTGCAGCGGGACCGTGCATTTGATGGAAAGCACCCTTGTCAAACACCATTTTTCCAGGCATGACAACACCTGTGTAGCACTCTGTGTGTCAGTCTGCAGCAAACACCCCGGCCAACAAAGACACAGAACACCAGGAACCAAAGCCTACCACCAGAGATGCTCATGGCGGGGTCAAAGAACCACCCAGGAGCTCCAAGCTCAGTAGTGCACTCCAGCACTTTACTCTGACTGACTCATGGCTTCACTCCAGCTGCCACCTAGAATGTGTGCTGGTGACCCAAGGATTTACATTTGTAGCAGAAATGTATTGTCTTTTCAGAAGAATGGGCAAAACCAAACTAGATTGTGCTGTAGACATGCACCAACCACAAGGAACATCCTTCCAGAAGGGAACACACAGCTGAGGGCTTCATCCACACAATGCTCCAGAATAAAATCTGTACCAAAGACAACTATAGACTACAGATACATCTATGACAAGGATGGCCAGGGAGCTACCTGGCATATGGCCTTATCTGTTTTTTAAACAGATCTAGGGCTCAGAGAAGGTCAAGAATTGATCGTGGATGAACCAAAGCCCTCAGTGCAGCAGCAGGAGTTAAACCATAGGGGCAGTGATACTGTCCCACACTGTCCTACCCCTTGATTCTCTCCTGACTTGGAGAGGGCCCCGCAGTCCCTCAGTCTTTCTGACAAGCCAGCCTTTGATGCCTGCACTGCACCTGCGATGTGCTGTCAATGAGGACTGTTTCCTGCCCAGCAGACTGTGGCTGTGCAGGATATCAGGAACCATCTCATGATCACTGTCAGCACAGATTCCATAGTGAGACCAAGCTCTGGGGAAAGCTTACTAAAGCACTGCCAGCATCTTTTAACATTCAGTCTCCCCAGAAAAGTTTTTAATGAGAGAACATTTGATATGTTCTATGCAACATGGGAGTATGATAAACTGTTTTTGGTATGAGTTAGGGATGACTGCACACGTAACAAGTGGCAGAGCAAACCAGAGCCATAAGTCAGTTATGCATGGCCATCCCTAACAATAGAGAAAAAATTGTTTATTCCAACCCTCCTGTGTTGTATGTTATATCACAATCAACTCCCTGTGCATTGTAAAATTCAGAATGCCCTTGCAAGGTTTACTTGATAAAGGAGTTTATTTTGATTTTCATCTTTCATCTGTAAAACTCCCTTCTAACTCCAAAGCACTGTGAAAATCCAATGAATGGCCAAGGCTCAATAGTTAAGGTGAAGAATGAAATGTCAGATATAACTCTGAGTTTCCAGACTTTGGCAGTTCCAACTATCCTTAACATTACTTTTTCAGCCAAACAGCCAGAGAAGCTACTGTTTCCTGAGAAGGAGCACTGCTGAAATATTGGTATGCTTAAAAAATATTTATTTTTAAAATATGTTTAAAATAGGAAGTAGCAAGAACAGAGATTTTTATTAAAAGTTTAGTAAGAACTCAATAGTCAGCAAAGTGTCTACCAAAAGCACAGGGAAATTTCACATGGCAAAGAAGAGATGGGTACTTAAAATATCTAATTCATCTACGTTGAGAGCTCTTCCAATGAACCAAGTAAAGATAATACAGTGGCTAAAGAGATGCAGGTTTTAAAGTGGTAGTTTCCTTGGAGCCAAATCTGGTTTTTAAGTTTTAATGTGAGATGCTGCAATTTAGGTTTGGAAAAAAGATTTTTCTTTATTATGTAATATTTATGTTGCATACTGCACTAAGCACTACTGTGAGAATCTTAAAAGGCATTCTAAAATATGAAAAACATGTAAATGGCCACTGCTTATATGCAGAAGACTTTTCCAAATATTAATAAAAATGTTATTCAATGAAACACTGTAATGAAGACAGGATTTAAAAATATGTGTAATACATTGTGCAAGATAAAGCTTCCCCCTTTCATGTATTATTACATGCTTGCTATTTGGATAACTAAAGATTACAATGTGAAATGTTCTTCATCATATATGACACACTCTTTTTTTTTTTTTTTCCATTGTCCTTATTTTACAGTCTAATATTCTATTCAGTTAATGCTGTGGTTCACAGTGTCCAAAGCAAGGATTTTATGATCACCTTGTATTCTCTTAACAGTAGTGGGTCTTGGTGAGGGAAGACTAAACCGTGGACAGGCAGGCTGATGTCATGGCAAAAAAGTTGAGATAAATTTATCCACATTATCTTAAAAGCATTACTTAGATTTAGACTCCAAAACTTTAGTTCTCACTGATGAACATGCATGTATTGTTATTATTCTGCACACACTTTGCAGTTTCTGTTCGGCTAAGATTTTAAAACACTTAATTCACCTTAATTAAGTTCCTGGGTACCTCATGTGGTGTGAAATTTATTTTGTCTACTTACAAGACTGGAAACCAAAGTATATTTCAAAGTCAACATTTTCAAACTTGTGTGGTTTCCCTCGGGCACACAAACCCAGGAATCTGTGGCTTCATTTTCAGAGATACCCATCAACATAACTAAATCCTACTCACTTCAAAGGTAGCAACAGATGCCCATCAGTTCTAAAACTCAGATCACCAGTCCACGGTCTAAACTAACCATGAGTATCCATGGCAAGAGGCTGAGCCAAAGAGAGTTTATAGATTCACGAGAAATCAGTAGAAAAGGCTGTAGGAGACCTCAACACTCCTGACAACCACTCCTACTCTTTTGCAACCTTGATGGCCTCATGTTAATAGAAAACACATGAATGGGAAATACTCTTCTTGTACATTGTTTTTCTTTATTAACATATCCATCAATCTTGCACTGGTGGGTTTTCCTTATCTGGGCAATTAGTAGAAGTTCATTCTACAAAAGCTGGCAGAAAACAAGCTTCAACAACAGGTTTGCTCCAGACTCTTCCAGTTTTTAAACAATGCACTAAGGCTCTGCCCGCTGCATTAGGGAATGCAAATAAAAGGAAAGAATACAACCATGAAGTGGCAATCTGGTGGTTCTTAATTCATCCAGTGTAGTGTTACACATCAGAAAGAGAAATGCATCCTAAGACATACAAGTGATCATGGTCATCAATGAAAAAAAAAAAAAAAAAGAAAAAGAGTATTCAAATATACTTTTCTCTTAACTCAGGGCTATAGTAAACCCAGAAGTCTGGATCATTAATTATCTTTTTATACAGGCTATCACCATGGCTTTGAGTATGGGGAGCTCTTCAGAGCAGGGATTTGACATGGCATCCTTGCTCCTGCTTCAGTGCTGACCTTAAACACAGCAGAGCCAAATTAAACTCCAGGTGTTTGCCCACTAAACTCAAGCATAAACAAAATCAGCCATAAGACCGGCACAGACACAGCAAGGGCGGGTGAATGCATGGTGAGTGTTTACATCCTCATATCTCTACATCAAAGGATTTGAGAAACCTGAGTCTGACAGTGATACTGTCAAAATAAGTAGCAAGAACCTCAGAAAAGGGGGCTGTGTTAACCTGCAGCAGAAACAAATTATTTCAGAGAGGTTTAGATACCAGCCTAAGATAACAGAAAAAGAGATACATAGTATCCCACTCAACATTTCAGTTGCCAACCTTTTGTTTGTAAGCACCAAAAACTTAATTTCATATTCAGAAACCAGGATGGTCTTTAGCAACCCTTTTCTTCTCAAAAGGCATCTGAAGAGATGATGTGTTCAACAAAAAATGTAGTTGACAATCTAGTTTCAGTCTGCAAAACTGAACAAATGTTGCAAGCATCCATTTGCCCATGACTGAAAAAAATGTTTTGCTACGGAGAACATGGGATGTGATCTTCAA